TGGACAATGAGTCAAATAAAGACGACTCTGTGGTTAGGAGCAGAATCTTGGAGATGCTGTTAAATTATTTTACATGTTAGTAATTTAAATGTATAGAAAACTGTCCCAGCCCAGCCACTGCATAACTGGCTTTGTTGATGGGATTGAGCAATTTCATTGCAATTAATTATTCCCAAATGAATATTTTACTTTTGATAGACCATGTGAAACAATTGCTGAAAAACGCAGTATCTCAGCTTATTTTATGTTATCACCTGAACAGTGCCTCAGTATTGAGCACGTTCTTTTTGCCACTTATATCACTGCAGCTGAGGTAATAGTGTGCAAGTGTTAAATGCTCTAAGGACCTGAACTGCTGAATACTCTTAAGAGATGCTGAACTAAGGGGCTGCTCAGTTTGGTATGCACGTGTGACGCTGTTAGTCAGTTTGTGAGCAATGCAGATAATTCCAGTGTGTGGTTGGCCACTGTCCAGGGGGAGATGTTTGAAGCAGGTACTGAGGGAAAATGCTTGCTATCTGTCCAGGCAGCATCTTGATTGAAGCAAGATGATTTAACCATTCCTGATCCTGGGCACTGAAGTGGATTCTCTCACATCATGCAGAACAACGGCCTGTCCTTATGTGGCTTGACTTAGTTGATGACAGAGCTCTTGAAAAAGAAAACAAAGTTGCTCTAGCAAGAAAAGAGGATTTTTTGATTATTTCATTTTAATTGTCCTGAGTCATTGCAAGGCCAGAATCTGTTTGACCTGGGCTTGGTTAACAGCTTGAAAAGGGAGTAACTCCCCTCCAGCTTCCAGTGCTAAATATATTCACGTGTTGGGTAGAAATAAGGATTTTGTGTGGATTGCTGCAGAAAACTGGCATCACAAAGTTCTCTGTCTGTACAGGTGTATTGTCATGTTTGGAGTGGCATAAGGAAACAGCAACTTCCACTGCAGTTGTTCTGGGGAGAGGAATCTGCTTGGTTTCATACAGAGCATGATTCCCCTGCAGGGAGACTTTCCCAAAATACCTGTCTGTGTAACCCATGGTATCAAATGCCATTCCTGCTATCCCATTTCACTAGGATTTGTATGAAGTGTGCCATGCCCCAGTGATGGTTCCCCTTGTCACGGAACAGGTTTTATATTGGATAGTCTTGGAATGTTAAGAGCAGGGCTGGTGTTCCCCCTGATGATCTGTTAGCTGGAGCACAGGTCTGTTGGATTTCAGGTTACAAAATTACACTTTTTTACCTTTAGTCTCAAAGAGAGCTGAATCTAAAGTAAAACGAATATCACCTGATTGGAATTCCTTTATGGTTTGTGTTTATATGTTGGTAGGAGTCCAATTTCCCATTTTGCCTTTGATCAGGGGTAATTAGAAGTCAGATAATCACAATTAGAAGTCTTGGGCTGTCTTCCATCATTCTATTCTTGACCCCATCATCCAAACAGATGGAATTTTACCTGACATTCATTTCCAGGCCAGAAATTTGCTGAACTAGATTAGATTGGGTCTCCATGCTGTCTGTTAGTGCATTGGAATTCGCCTCCTGCCTGCCCCTTCTCAGAGGCACCTTCAGACATGTGCTTGTTATCCAGAACGGGTCAGGCAGGAACAAAGGATTTCCAAGCAGTTCCTTTTTTGTTGTTGTTTGTTTCCTTTCCTATGTGACCCTAGAGTCTGATCATGTCCACTGTGTCTTAAAGGTATTTGACCACATCAGTTAAGCTAGCAAGTATTCTTTTTTTCTTTTTTTTTTCACTGAGGAGCTTAATTAATCCAGGAAGGGTTTATGACCTTGAACAAACTGTGGGCATTGAAAATTTGGGTAGTGAAGCAGAAAAGTTGTTGGGAGAAGTTATCAGAGTAGTGCACAAGTTTTGTATTTGCTTTTCAGTGTTGGGAAGTACTGAGAATGAAAACAGCTTTGTTGAGGTTGTTCACAGTGAATTTTATGTTCTGCAGTTGTTTTTTGCTAGCTCTGGACAAAATGCCTTAAAGAGTAAAAAAAACCTTTTCATTCAACTGTAGCTTAAGACAGTCTGTTCATAACATATTGTAAAGATTGTTTTTAAAAAAAAAACAGTTACAGCATGCTGCACTCTGAGAATTTTAAATGAAAAAAATTCTGTGGGCAAAAAGTACCTTTAAATTACATAGTCTTAAGTAATTATTCATAACTGAACTCCAGAGGGAGAAGAATAGGTATTTATAGAAATTCTTTTGAATTTTTTAGTTTTCAGAGCTCAAACATGCTATATGCAAATGGTCAGGATTAAAAAAAACCCCATCATTTGAAGTTCCCATCAAAACTCACCGTAAAATCTACTCCCACTTGAAAAAAAAAAAACCAAAACCCAAAACAAAACCCAAGGGGATTCATTCTGCTCTGAAAAATAAAAATGCTTTCAGTTTGGACCACTGAGCATGCTAAAAGAGAATTATGCTCAGAAGTGGCTTTGTAAAGCCAGGAACACCTAAAGCTGTGCTGCTGTGGACTCTTTAATGTGTCTGTGGTACAAGGGGGAGCCTTACAGTCAGGATTGATCCGTCATATCTGGAGGAGGGCTGGGTGCAGGGACTTCATAGAGACCTTATTGTGGAGGCCAGAGGTATGCAGGAGCCAAAGGCATGATGACTTTAGGATATGAAGCGTTTCTTTTTGTCATTTAAAACGCTGTGTGTCTCTGTCAAGAGGAAATATTACACTAGGCTTTAAACCAGGAAAGGTCATAGGTTATGTGTTTTCAGTGAGCTGTAACTGATGGTCTGATCTGCTTAGAGGTAGGATTAACCTCCCTCTCTCTCAGAAAGGACTTGCAGAGAATTGTTTGCTTGGGTTTCTAATCTTATTTTACCCCAAATGCCATGTGCCCTTATTGGTGGCAGAGGAGATTCTTGTGGTAGTGGAATCAGTGAAAAGCTGGTAGATCACACAAGAAGCCTCTGAATGAAGGCAGAATTGAAACTGGGAAATAAAGAAAACAGCAGGCAGGTCACCCTCTCAGGAAAACAACATTCATTCTCAGTCATGCACATCCTAACACTTTTGACGGCAATTTATCATGGAAGACTGGGTTCACCGCAAGGGCTAACACATGTCATAGGTTAAATCAGAAAAGGCAATGCTGAAAGGAAACTTCAAAGTCCTTCATACACAGAGTTAAAGATGTTTGGGGGGAAAAGCTTACCATGTTTGTTATAAAGATAAGGGTAAACAGCACGCTGGATGAGTTTTGGCAAAATGCTGTGGGATTGTTTGGCCTGTTTAGGGCACCTTTTCTGTGTCATGGCAGTGGGTGTACAGGCCTCCACAGCCTGCAGGAAGCTGTGCAGGCTGAGCTAAAAGGCCCTCTCCAGTTCTGGTTGCTGGGAATCTGATATATCTCTCCTCGTGGTATGGCATAATGCCTGGGGGAAGTTGCCGTTCCCCACCACAGACAGGATCTTTCTTAGTACTTTATGGTTTTTTAATTTCCAGCGAGGCCTGTGCAGCCTCCTGAACCCTCAGGAGGAGGGTGTGCACATCCAGCTTGGAGAAAATGCTTTGGAAGTGAGAGGAAAATGTCTCAGCCTGACTGAGATTTCCAGGTGGATGTGGTAGCACACAGGAAGCTTGGATGGGCTTGGTAGCACGTGGTTGGGGAGGTGCCTTGTGGTGCTTCTGAGAGACCTCTCCCTTTCGGGGACTGACAGTCCAGTCCATCTCTGGAGATGCTTACAGGGTTAGGAATTTTATCAGCTGCCCACAGCTGGACATGGCAGCAGCTGGCACGCAGCTTTGGCCATGGGCATCTCAACATATATATGGCATTTCTGTCATTGGAATTTAGCCTTGGGAAGAAAGTGAGCATTGCTTCTAGCAGACTCTACTGCTAAAGGGTTCCTGGGGTAAAAGTAGAAATCACAGTTGTGAGCAGTGGGCTTGTAGAGAACTGTAAACAGCACAGGCAGAGAAGCAGCAGTGCAAGGTACAACCTGCAAAAAAACAGGCTTGCTCAGCCAGTCCTTTCACTGTCGGGTGCTTCTGCTCTTCCCACCCTCCTTTCCAGCCTGCTGCTCTCCCAGATAACCTGGTAACATTTCTCTTGCTTTGTCAAAAAAATGGTGTTTTAGCCTGTGATCTTTCTAAAGTACTCTTGGGTCTCTCTCTCTCTCTCTGTGTCTCTCTGTCTCTCCCCTTCCATTGCACCCTCCTGCAGGATTGTTTACGAGCCTGCCAAGAACAGATTGAGTCCCTCCTGGAGTCCAGTCTACGCCAGGCACAGCAGCACAACATATCTTCAGAAACAAAGACTGTAGAGGACGAAGCAGACCTCTCCTGCACACCTACTGATGTGCGAGACGTGAACATTTAAAGAGGACTTCTTCCTAAATGGATTTGCTTGGCAAGAAAAGCAGACAAAGAAAGGGCATCTGAGAAGGAATCGGCATCAGGATCTCCCCCCCAGAAACCCTTTTCTCCAGGACATTTTTATACCAGAAGGGAAAACCAGTCTTGTTATATTTTTTTCTTGCTCTGTCTCCCTTCCATCTGTGACTTCAAACAAACAAATAAACAAAAAATACCCCAAAAACTGTCTTAAAAAAAGAAAAAAATAGTATTTGCATTACCCCCAGGGGTTTGTGCTACAAAAATAGAGGATTTTATACAATAATAATCAACTAGTTTTTATATTAAAGTGTTCTTGTCTGTATGTTGTAAAAATAGGCATTAACACACGAAATGTCTCCAGGGGAGGTATTAGATTTGATTTCGTACATATAAAACAAACCAACCAACCATTTTTAAAGTAGAAGAGGGTTTTTTTTTTAGATAGTAAATGAAATATTCTTTTTCTTTAAAGAGCATAGCTTTAACGCAGTTCTAGGCTTTTCTGTATCTTGCTTGCTTATGCATTTAGTCACTTTATAATTCATCTGTAAATGTTTATTTTATTTCCTTAGGTTTTTTTTTATCCTCTTCACCTTATAAATGGTTAACGTAACCCATAAGTTAGTGTATGTTAGTATGCAGCATTATTATATGTTAATCTTTTTTTTTTTTTTTTTTTTTTGTGCCTGTGGATTGCCTGTGCATTGAGGCATTTGTAGGGTTCCAGCTTAGTGTGGTTGGGAAAGGCCAATGTACTACTCATACAGGACCCTATTATAAAGAGAAACCGAAATAGTGACATAATATATTATATTTTTGTAATCTTCCTATTTTTGTAGTTACCTGTGTAAAAATGCTGTTCTGACCCCACAGATATTCAGCCTAATTATAGTCAGGTTCAATCCACAGTTGAGTCTTTTTTTTTTTTTTTTTTTTTTTTTTTTTTTTTTTTTTTTTGTTCGTTTGTAATATTCTGAAACCATTCCATTCAAAGCACTTTCAGTCCATTAGATATAGGAAATACATTCTTTTATTGTGTGGAAATTTTTTTTTGTTTGTTTGTTTTTTTTAATGGAATGGTTTGGAAATATATAAAGTGCTTGTTGGCAAACTTGGAATTGCAAAGCAAGTGCATTTAACTATGGTGTTAGAGGAGAGGTGATTCTTTTTTTCCGAAGGTTGTGTTCCAGTGAGAGAAAATTGCATTCACAAATTGCCAGGATATCTTCCTTTCCTTTTCTGTAGAAAAGTTTGGAGTTTAGAACCCTTTGGTGCCAACTCATCTTTATAAATTAGGGGCCTTAAAGGTTCACATATAGGACACATAGTTTTAAGGATTATCGCTAGATGTTTTTACAACTGAAGGTTTTTAAACACTAAAATATATAATTTATAGTTAAGGCTAAAAAGAATATTTATTGCAGAGGATGTTCATAAGGCCAGTATGATTTGTAAATTAATGCAATCACCCCTTTTGAAAAAGAAAATCTTTCTACCCTTGGTGTTGCAATTTTTTACCCAGCTTATTAAAGCAAAAAAAAGGATATGCTTCAAAGAACAAACCCAAAACCAGGCAGTCTATTTGGCCCCTTCTTATACATTTTCAAAAGCAGTCTAACCATGAAAAAACACCATAGTTAATAGATATGAAAATTGGAGTACTTGAAAGAAGTTTTTATTCCAGAATATGCCCCATTTGTTTTTTTTTTATTTAGCTACAAATAGAAAATTTGCACATCTTGGCTATGTATCTTTTTATTATTATTTTAGAAAGTAGCTGAAGGGACGTGGACATAGCTGTTGAAGTTGATGCTCGAGGAGAATGTGATGGTGAAATGTATGTGAGAAAACTGCCGCTAAGGTGTTGATTGTAACAAAAATAACAACAACAAAAAAGAACAAAAAAATGAAAAAAGATAAAAAATTCAAAAGATAAAAAAAAAAGAAAAAGACAAAAGGAGTGGATGCTCCATTTTTATTGAGCTGCTATGGATAAATTCCCAGCATGGTTTGAAAAAAAATTAACATTGCTTTTCTGTATCTTTGTCATTGTGTTTTGCTGCTATTTTGTGGATCAGTTCTTTTTTTTTTTTTTGTTATACAATGTCATATACTGCCATGTAATAGGTTTTAATTTTCTCATAGAAAATTATATTATTGACATCATTTTTTGTAGATTTTTTTATGTGATCAATTTTTACTTAATGTGATTACTGCTCTATTCCAAAAAAGGTTCCTGTTTCACAATACCTCATACTTCAGTTACCCGTGTCTAGACCAGGTTTTGATGTTCTTACAGTGCCTCATAGTTCTACTGCAAACGGAAATGCATCGAACGTTGCTCTGAATGGGTCTCTGCATTAATTTAAAAACTAGCAGACATTTCAGAAGATCAATTAATATCAAGGGTTGGTTGTTTTTTGATTTTTTTGGGGTTTTTTTGTTTTGGTTTTTTGTTTTGTTTTGGTTTTTTTTTTTGTTTTTGTTATGCATTTTATAAAGCTGGATTCTTTGTCTGATCTGGGGTTTATTATCATAGTAGTTTTAAGTTGTGTTACTAGCCACATTGATATATGAAAGGTGCATTATAATATAACTCTTGTGTGCCACCTGATGTGGTTCTCCCTCAGCTGGGACACATCATTTGGTATGTTAGGTTATCTTCTGGAACTCTAAGTATTTTGTGTGTTTAATCTGTTATGATATACTAGGGGTTTTTTGTTTGTTTTGGTTTTTTTTTTTATAATTATAGCATAATGCTAATTTAAAAAAAAGCCTGTAAATCTCATAAATAAGCCAGCTAACAGAGTTGTATGCTGAAGAATAATCTAGCTGTTGCCTGTATGCTGCTAAACCAAAACAGAATTAGAACTCATTTTGAGGCAAATGCAGTTAAGATCCTACATAGTGCATAAATAAGCATTGCAATGCTACTAGCAGTCGCAGGACCCAGGAGGACTGGATATATTCTGTCCAAATTTCAGGAACATTTCTTACTGCTTACCTCATAAAACACTTCTGTTTGTGGCATCTCTGTGTCTCTGAACCAAACATGATTATTGAGTTTAGTGCTTGTTGGTTTTATTATGTGTTACACTGAGTGGTAGTGTGTACTGCAAATTTTTTTGAAATATTGTATGTACTGAAAAAGGCCAAATCCAGATAAGTGGGTTCACGTGCCAACAGAGATGCTTTATTTGTCACATTATTATAACAATCTGTAGTAAGCAAAAGCAATTCAGATTTGTACATTTTTATATTGTACTTATTGGCATCACTGGTCTGAAATGCACATTTTCACCAACAGACCTGTAACAGACAAGTTTCCAGCAAAAAAATCTAAAGAAATAGAAATAAAATTGGTAAAACCCAACCGTTGTCGTCTTTTAATTTACATTTATTTTTAATTGCCTTGAAAATGCTGAATGGTTGTAACTACCTGGTGCTGTGAGTAAAGCACGTGACATTTTCTAGGTTTGACACACTCTAAAAGCTGAAGACCTTTTGTTGCTATTTTAGGAAACCGTGGGTGTTTCGAGCCATGGGTACGTAACTGCCTGCCTGTCACACCAACGTGCATTTTTAAAGAAGCAAAATATTTTTTTCCCTGCCTGAAGACTTTATTTTTCACATTAAAGGAAATTAGTCATAGTAAAATGCCCCTTTGGTGGTTCATGTGAACAAAGGGTAAAACAAAGTAGGTGTTGGATGGCACACAATGCTTGCTGGTACTTTCTCATCAGTGGAAGGTTTTGTGTCCCAGAACACCATTACAGAAGACAGTTGGTTTTAAAAGCCAGTTGGTTAAGCTGCCTTCTCTGTGCCTTCCCCTCAGACAGCTTTTACAGCTAAGAGAATACGGAATAAACCTGAAAAACATTAAAGCCAACTAAAAGAATGTAAGAAAAGAACTGAACCTGGGACAGGAATTAGATATTATTACAAAATAAAATGAGAAAAAAATTATAACCTCTGTTCCAATACAGAATCCAAAATATCTCTGAAAATAGGGGTTGCACATTATTATTATTATTATCATTATTGCTACTACTACTACTTTATTTTTATTATTATTTTCAGAGCTGAACACAGCAGAAACATCTTATTTTCAGGGGAGATGGTCAAGCTTATAACCTATGTATTTGGTTATTTTTCCTGTGAAATTATTTCTGCCCAAAAAAAAAATTATGTAAAAGGCCAAGTGCTTCTCCTCGCTGTCACAAATTAGAAATTTGGTACCTGCCTTCTGAGTTTCCCATAAACTTCACATTACAACTGATTCCGTGCAGCGAGTGCAGCACAGGAAATGAAAAATGAAACCGCAGAGCCAACTTCTAACATGTTAATCGTTGTCTAGTGCAGAACAAGCTCCTTTCAGGCCAGTTACCACTAGATGGGAAACCACCTGCATCAGAAGAATCCACCACTAGATGGGAAACCACCTGCATCAGAAGAATCCCAGATGAGCTTGTGAGAGCTCGGTGGTATCCCAGTCATTTCAGCCAGAAACCTGAAGCTTGTGTGGTCTGCTGCAAAATCCCAGATCAGGTGGGTGAGTAAAACCAGTACAAATGGGGTCTGCTTTGTTCCTTTTGAAATGGGTAGCTCCTCTGTACAGTGAGTTACACTGGGAGGTGTAAAACACTGAAAGATGACCTGAACTAAACTCACAGGGACTTCAAAAACACACCAAGCCAAAGCTTAAACTGGTCTGGGCCAAAAATGATTAATTTTTTCCAGCACAAAAAATCCCCAAAACTCCAGAAAGAACGAATAGCTTTCTTTTGTGTGGCCGACGGCTCATCCCTCTGATCTTCAGTGTTTGAAAATCAAGTGAGAACACACTTTGGGGATCTTGACTTCTCACAAAAATCTTGTGCTGATAAAAACATTAGAGTGATTCAGTGAGAAATGTAAACCTGTGTTTGGTTGAATGTGTTAAGTAGGTTTTGCCATTCCCATCTCTTTTATAAATGCTGTTAAACTGACTAAGTGTTGTGACTAAAGTAGGTTTAAGCCCACATAGCTCTATTATTTACATTTTCCTTCTCCTGAACATCATCTCTAAATTCAGACTCCTAAATTTGAATGCTGGGTGAACTATGCCAGTATTACTCACATTGCAAAGGGCAGAAAGACAAGAATGTAGCAAGAAAAACAATTTACTATAGGCTGTAAAAAATATGCACGTTCAGCTAGACTATGCTGTAGCTTATTAAAGGGAAAAGTACTGTAATTTTTTTTTGAGACATGTACAAAGAAAAACCTCCAACCGACCTCCCAAAAACCTTCCCAGTTCCATTGCTGAATTCAGGCCATTTGACAATCTTGGACCTTTTATGAACACTTAAATTCAAATGCTCTTTATTAAACAATAAACAAGAACTAGCAAATGAAAAAAGACTCATAATCCACTTTCATTCAAGCACAGCTGGCATTTTAAGTGATAGAAAACTCCATAAGATAGAGGAGAAAGAGAATGTTGGAGCTGTTGTTTTTAAAAGATTCACAGGAATGACCCATACACATGGGCTACATACGCTGAGATTCCTACAATGGGACAATGGCAGTAAAGCTATAAATGATGGCATTTTAATGAATTTTAATGAATTCCTGTTGGCACCATTTTATGAGAAATGTATCTCTTCAGACAAACAAGGTATTTTTATGATCCCACAAATATAATTGCTCGTAGTAATTGCTTTGGCATGCCAGCATAGATTCCCATGTGTCTTCTAAGTCCCACACCATATTCCAATCCAGTGAAGAGAAAGGGATTGCAAATTAGTCAATGGGATTGCACTGATAATGGGACATTTGCCAGACTTCTGATTTTGTTCTTTATGGCCAAGCAGGACCAAATGTAGGAGGAAGGCAAAAGTTACCCATTTGCTTTTTGACTGTCATAAACATTTAGGAATGAAACCAGAAATAGTTCCTTGCTAATCCTATAGCACCTGCAGAGCCCTACCTAGACCTGTTCTCCTTTCTGCCTGTGTGAAGATGGGCTATTAAAAAGCCTCATATTTCAGGGAATTAACAGGTGGGGATCTCTACCAGCACCAGGAACGCTGAACCAAAGGAGGAATTGTGACATGCAGGGCCAAGCTCCAAGGCAGGACCTGACATATGGACTGGCCAGAGAAGGAATCCTCCTCTGGATCCACGTGGGGAACAGAGGTCTAGAGCTTTGAGTCATGCTTGTAGCATGTGCATCACAAGAGTGGAAATTGCCATCCACTTACGCTTCCCTGCTGAATACATTTTAGATTTTACATTGCCAAGTGGTTTTGTTTCATCCATCCCACCTGGCAGCAGCCCTGTGACATGGCTTAATTCCCTCCCAAGCCATATTCCACAGATGCCTGGTCTCCCGTTGACAGCCACCACGTTTGTGGCTGTTTGTGGCTGAGATGTGATTTGTAGCATCAGCAACAGTCTCCAAGGGGCTGGGCTGAGAGGGGCAGAGCCTCACCCAAGGCCCACGAAAGCACCAGCAGGGCACTGTGACAACACCCCTGAGCCAGCCCGAGGCAGTGACCTGGTGTCCTGAGCCACTCTCTGATGGCAAACTGTCTGCAACGGGCAATTGAGCTTTTTGATGTTTCATTTCTCCCCTTTATTAGATTGTATCACTCCAGATTGTTCAAATACAGGGTATTATTTTTGAACAGCTTTCTTTCCTCCCTGAACATCCACAGACCAAAGTTCTTTACATTTGGCTATTTTAAATATGAAGAGCAAAGCTTCAGCCAATGTGTGCCATTAAATTTCAGAAGACATCATAAATTATTTACGCATAAGTAAACATCATTTCTTCTAAGTAATACATTTATTTTGTGGGTTTGACTTAATATTTCTGTAGCCATTTCAGTCACTCACTGACCATTTAATTCCTTTTAGACAACACATCTGGTAGCCATGTATTTTTTAGGTTTCTCTTTTCATGGAGACCCTTGGACTGCAAAGGATCAGAAGGGTTCTTCCCTTATGGATATGACATTCCAATGTCAGTGAAAGAAGTTTCATCTGCCTTCACTTCTGCATGACAGTGCTCAACAGTGTTGCAGAGCCAGACAATGCAAGTTTGTGGAACATCGTTTCTCTCCTTCACAAACAGCTTTCCAACCACCAAAATCAGCCCTCCCATGTTTTTAAAACACTCTGTAAACCTGCTCAACGTGTCTTCAGGAATCTCTTTCCTCCATGTTTCTGCTGAAGGAGTATTTCAGGCAAATCACAAGGCCAGGCTCCTTGAAAAAGTGTCTACATTTTTTCCTTTCTCACTAGTTTGAGGAATAATGATGCTACTGGAATTTTCTGAAATTTGTCCTCCTCCTAATGCACAAGAGAACTTAAAGAAGACCAAGGCATAAAACTATAACAAGCCAGGTTCTCAAAATGTGGTTCTAACAATGTATTTATGGTGAAGCAGGTTAATGCAGTCCCAAACTGTGCTCCAATCATTCTCCACCTGACTCAGGGGTTCTGGCTGTAACACATCAAATGATGCCATAATCCATGTGGGTTTAGGTTTCCAGTGTCCTTGACTACCTGCCCCACAACCAAGGTCTCCTCAGGAAGGAAATACACTGCAGATATAACTCCTAGCTCTGCTAAGAAATTACATTCTGTTCTGTCTGTTCTTAGAGCAATTTGCTTTTTAACTTGTATTTCAGAAACTGTCAAGTGCTTATTAACAATAACTTCTGTATGTGTGTGTGTTTTTAACAGAGGTAAACGGGGTCTCAAAAATTCAATGTCTGCACATACATTGCAAAAAAAAAAGCAGGCCAGTTCAGAGAACAATGTAGGCATGTGTTTTTAAACTACTGTTCGTGCAGTCTGGTCAGGGCTGTGTGACACAGTATACAGTGTTTTGTCATCCAAGGAATGTCTTTGATCAAGAGTTTATGCAAGAAGAAAAAAAAAAGCCATGAAACCCTAATCCGTTCCCACAGTCCAGTAAACGTGAGCTGGACAAACAGTGGACAATAGCAGCAAAGCTTGCTGCTGGAACAATGGCTGCAACTAAAAAAATTAAAGGGTTGCTGACTCACAGTTCCTACTATCAAGAAAGATTCCACATAGTGTTGATTATTCCCCAGAATCCTGAAGATGCCGAAAGTTAAAAAGTGTTGAGACAAAGCAGCAAAATAGGGAGTTAAAATCAGAAATGGAACAGTGGCAAATGCTGAGCTGATTCTGTCTGATGCACAGTCAGGATGCAGGGACTGAATAATCAACCTCCTTTTTATCAGGAACAAGTACCAGTTAAATTCTATCAGACAGGAGGCCACTATTTCAGATGTCACCCTAACAAATTCTGCACAACTTGAATTGTGTAGCTTTCTAATTTTTCCAAGGCAAAAGTTTTATGCCATTTCTTATTCTTATTCAGAAATCTCCCCAAAACCAGATACACAGAATGCTGCACTACTGCTCAATTGGTTATGGTTACAGAATAGGATAAAATAATTTAAAACATTGTGCAGCAAGCTGTTTGGAATCAAGTGAAATAATGTCTGAGGTTTTTTCACTTGTCATATATTCCATGGATTTAGGAAGTCTTCCACATTTCAGATGAGCTTAGTGACCATGTCTCCTTCCACACAGTAGTGCAGCATTTGATAAGTAGTACCACAGAATTCTAGCATGAAAAATGCTGAAAAAATTTAATGACCACACTTAGGGAATCAACACTCCAGTGACTAAGGTGGGAGCATTCCCAGTGTAACGTCAAAGAGATATTCAGGTTAGCTACAAATGAACTGACTGTGCAAGCTTACAAAATAGCACACAGAGCTTTTATTATTATTTTTATTATCACCCCAGGCTAGGCTGGTCCTGCAGTTCCAAACCCTGGGACACACTGAAGTGCTTCAGCAGTGCTTTGTTCCAGTTGGCCTTTACACATCAGTCCCAGACACCACAACTTGCAACTGGGAACCTGCTGAACTCCTCTCACACCTCCCAAATCCCCTTTTTCCCTGGTGATACATCCACTTCTGTGGGAATGTGTACTGTCACAACTTTATCCATTAAAAAAACAACTCTGGCAGACTGTAAAATGAGAATCTTCATGGTTACTTGCCAAACTATGAAAGCTGAAGTTTTAGACTGCAATTAGACCAGAAGCCATGGTTGTAAGAAGTTGCAAAGGGCACTATTCAAAAGGCACCAAGAATAGAAAGAATCAGAAAACAATACCAGAAATATTAAGTTCTTACTCTAAAGCACTGTGGGATATTAGGGTGCAGGCAGACTTCTGACAGATGGATTTCCCTTTATTCCAATGCAGGAAGTTGTTTCCAGCCAAAGTGTAAATAAGCATTTATAAATACAGGGCAGGTTCAAACTCTCTCTTGCATCTCTTCAAAAACCAAAACTTATATAAACGTTGAAACTGATTTACTGGAAAATTAAAACTCCAAATTGAATCTAATGTGGAAATTACCACAACCTTGTTTCAGATAAATAGATCAGGATGCAAATGAGCCAGAGTATCTCTACAGGGTTGGTTTTGAAGCAAACAAATGCACACCCAGATTCTTTTTTTTTCTGATTTATTTCACCCATTTCTGTTGATTATAGATATTCACTCAAAGCTGGAATTTGTACTAAAGGATCACCTTAAGTACAGCTGACAAGAAATGGAAAGGAAGTTGCTTAATGAAGACAGAACAAGAACTGTGCTTGGGACCTTTACCAAATGGTATTCAAAGTTTACCTCTTGGCTGATGCCTCAAAATTCACTATTTCTTGTACTCATCACACACTGCAGAAAGGAAAATTACAACTCTTCTGGACTGCCATGACTTCAGCAGCCTAGCAGTAATGAGCTGTATATCCACCTTTTAATAAAATTCCATATTCCACAGGCTCAGCTGAGAGATGATCACAAAGAGACAAAACAAGCTAGAACACAGTCCAGGCAAGTCAGAAACTGCTGAGTGAAATGTTTCAAACATCCCTCTATAACTACTGAGCTATAAGTAGGGGTGGTGAATGAGTAGAGATTATATATTCTTAAGTCTTACTTCTGCAAAATTTCAAACTTCTTGGACAATCAGTCAAGCCACAATCTCAATGTCCTGCTTTATTAATAACCAGTATCATAACGTACAATGTTGCATATTTTTCAGTATCTTTGTGACCCTAAGACAAATTAATATTTTTGATTTAACCTAGGCTATAAATCAGGCATACCCAAAACCTCAGCTGTAAATCAGGCATAAAAACACCTCTACAGAATGCTGGGAATGTTCCACAGCCACAGCACTGAACGTGACACAACCCCCCCCAAATCACTGCAGAAAACAAAAAAATGGCACTGAAGAAAGCACACAACAACTGCACATCCAACAGAATTTTGAACTGTACCTTATTTAATAAACCACATTAGGACCACACAAGGTGAAAACAGCAGATATTCAGAAAAATACAGACTCCTGGAAGAAGAGACTCCATCAATGTGTCCACACAGATGAAATTTAATTAAAGACCTAATTAAAAAATTAAAGACCTAATAGATAACCCTAAGCTTGGTATATCCCAGCTGGAAATCCCGGTTGATACAATATTTATAGTTCAGTATATACACATGTATTTATATAATAATTTACTATAATTTTATTTTTTAAAAATAGAACTAAAGCAATACAAGAAAATTAGCCACCAAACCAATTTTCCAAATAACAGTCACCACCTGACTGCCAAAGACCATTTCTCTCCTGAGCTGAACAAAAAAAATTGTGTTTGATACAATCTCTGGAGCAGCACCTTGGCTTGTCACTCACATATCACACACTTCTATTAAACAAATGCTCCACCTGGAGCTCTCACAACCTTGCCCTTGCTTTCACAGGCATCTTTGCAAATGAGGAAACAAGTAAAAATTAATTCCTACCTCAGTGTTACTTCATTGCAAAGATATTCCCCACATAATTAGAATTATCATGAGTGTGTATGTTCTGTACTGTCTATTTTAACCACTTCACCCACATAGATATTTGTGAGCTCCTACAATCCCACATATCCACTAGATGGCTCTGACACTGCCTGTGTGTATCAAAATTCATGTGTAGGCCAGTTAAACAAACCAAAAACCTCAAATCTGACTTCGTAAGGCTGAACCGTGCCATGCAGGCAGAGCCAGGCACACACAGAGTACAGCTGATAAAAGCTGGAATTCTGCAATTCCTTACTGGAATGCAAAGACATCCAGCAGCCCAAGCCAAAGCCTGTTGCAGGTACTCCTGGAGCTCTCACAACCTTGCCCTTGCTTTCACAGGCATCTTTGCAAATGAGGAAACAAGTAAAAATTAATTCCTACCTCAGTGTTACTTCATTGCAAAGATATTCCCCACATAATTAGAATTATCATGAGTGTGTATGTTCTGTACTGTCTATTTTAACCACTTCACCCACATAGATATTTGTGAGCTCCTACAATCCCACATATCCACTAGATGGCTCTGACACTGCCTGTGTGTATCAAAATTCATGTGTAGGCCAGTTAAACAAACCAAAAACCTCAAATCTGACTTCGTAAGGCTGAACCGTGCCATGCAGGCAGAGCCAGGCACACACAGAGTACAGCTGATAAAAGCTGGAATTCTGCAATTCCTTACTGGACTGCAAAGACATCCAGCAGCCCAAGCCAAAGCCTGCTGCAGGTACTCTCAGCTAGCACAGCTAAATACAGGCAGCTGGCAGCATCCATTGGTCTGGAATGAGACTGAAGTGGTCACTTTCCAAGGCTGGCACATGAAAAGCTGGTCTGTGTAAGAGGCACCAACAAATACAGTCCATGAGATTCACAGCTCCCCTGGCAGGCACGTTCATCTCACCCACCATTTAAACTGGTAACTTGGAGGGAGGGATTCGATTTTGTGGGGTTTGCTCCCTTCCCCCTATCAGTCTGCAAAACTATTGGAAAATCCAGGTGCAAATTCCATATTCTGAGCAGGTATCCTCATCCTTCTCCTCTGCATTCTGACATCCTTTGTCATTCCATCTTCTCCCCACAAAAATGAAGTCTGCAGGTATTTGATTTTATTTTCCTTCACCCACAGCATGTACACATTGTGCAAACTGAATGATCTGCATACACAGATTTTTAAGCAACAGACATCCTTTAAACAAGGAAACTGTGCAAATGCTTGTTTTCCTTTTGAGGAATTATCAGTAAAAGACCAGGAAAGAATTAAAACAAATATTTCTATTTAACAGATTTACACACTAGTGTGTGTAATATCCTAAATAAAACTTGAAGATAATAAATGTTAAATAATACTGCAAGTCCAGTGATTTTTCACTTTCCCTTTAACATCTCTTCACTATTTTGATTTTTTTTTCCATATAAAAGTAGATAGACACTTTTCCAGATCTGTTCTTCTAATGGGTTTTTTCCTTCGGTCATCCACGATTATCTTCATCTGTTGCATTCAAAATGTTAGTGAAGATCCCTCATTACCAATTCTAAAATCAGACTGAATATTTAGCATTGAACAAACCTAAAAAGGAATACACAGAAGTGTTTCAAAGGGTCTGTTTTTCAAGAAGAATGTTCAACAGAACTCCCAATTGCTCCATTTCTCTTCTTCTGGTCCCACTTGTAATTCAAATTGTCAAAGATTATTTCCAAATTACTTTTTAAAGAATTTTTTTTCCTTTATTTTGTATTTGTTACCGCTTGGGAAATTTTCAACTATCAAGGATTTTCACTTAATTTATCTCACTTCAAGTATTTTGCTATGATTGCAGAATGGGAACAATAACTGATTCACAAAATTTTGGAGTAGCTTTAGGAACAAAGTATCTTCAAAAATTAATTTATGTGCTAAAATTACAACTTAATCCTACAAACCTGTTTAAATTTTCCTCTGATTTTTTCCAGATCTTCTTGCAGCTTATCGTAAGTGGGGTCTTCATATGGGAATTTCTGAAGCATCCCTATTAATGAATCCAGAGCCCTTATCTTTTTTCTAGAAAAAAACAAAATGAATCAAATCACAGGAAAACCCAATGATCCTCACACAGGAGTTTTTCCAATCCATCATTATAAAAATTATACTGACATATAATAATCCAAAGTACAAAATCCAAGCCTCCATCCTCCTCTAACTCAATTTATCCCACTCAGCCCATTGTCAGGTATATTCTTAAGTAAGAAGATATTTATATTCTTAAATAAGAAATTATCCAAACTAGGAATTATTCCAAATTGGGAATTAGCCACAACTGACAGATTTAAAGCTTCCATTTCAACCTACCAGTCCAAAGCTCAAAAATATTCAAGAATCAACAAAAACACTGATTAGATGATTGGGCAAAATAAAGAAATGCAACCAAAAAGACAATTCTGGCAGACAGATTAATCAAAATGGGACCTAAAAAAAAGATAGGCAGAGAAGAATGGAAGTCACAGTGAAATGACTTTTTAACCTCACCTGTTCTTTTCATCTGTGCATTTCTGGAGCAGACAGTGCCACGTCAGTGCAAACCCAAGGTAGCAACCAATCTAAAATTAATTTAAAAGAGTCACAAGGGAAAGAAAAAACCCCAAAGGACAACACAGCATAGACAGTGGAACAAAAATAAAGCACTACAATGTATCTCACTCTTCAGGAAACGAAACCCTGGATACACAAACATGTTTCCAAGCTGGAAAGGCTGGCAAGTATAAGGTTGCCCAAGCCACCTCTCACTGGATGTGTCTAATCCTGCCTCCCTCTGGAGCTTTCCCAGTATGAGGAGAGTACAGTAATTCTCTTTTATGGTCTGTCCAGGACCATTTTGTACAAACCATCCACTGTCATTCTCAGTCTGCAGCTGTGACAAACTGGAGTGGACATATGGGACAAGCTGAGTGCCTCCCCAGCAGTCTCCAGCCCCTGAGCTCCTGGGAATGGTTACTGATGCAGGCGTGCCAGCACACAGAGCTGGCTCCACGGGCACAAGAGGAGCAGTGCCACCAACCCCCACAGCATCACAATTAACAAAGGGCTCACAAGACACACAGAACTGCCTCTTTATGTCTCAAGATTCCACCCTCTTCCCTATGCTGGGACTGGGGTACAGGGGGGCCTTTAGCCATAAATTTGGGAAAAAACATTACCAAAGCTCCATACAGCAAATAAGCTGAGAAAACACAAGTGCACCTACTGAACTCTCCAGCTCAAAACAGCACCTTTAATGCAGCTTTATGGGAACTCCTGGACACAGACAGAGCAGTGAAACACAGCAGGCCTCAGCCTGAAAACCTCTGTGTGGCTGTCCTTTTCCAACAACACGAAGATCCCAGTGCTGCAGAGCTTCCCCGCTTACCTCCGAGCCCATCCTGGCTCCGTGGAGTGCTCCGTACCTCCTGCCCTCAGCCAGTCCAGCGTGGCTGCCCTCTGCAAGCCCCTCCTGGTAGCCCTGCCCGTGGAACCTGGGAGTGCAGAATCACAGCTCTGTCAATCTCCTGTGCAGCTCGCAGTGTGCCGGGCCAACAGGAACGCGCATCGCCTCCAAAGCTTAGAAACTCCACACAAAATCGATTTAAATTCCAGAATCACAGGCTTGTTTGGATTGGGAAGGACCTCTGAGATCATCCAGTCAGATCTCTGAATGATCATCACTGCGTCAGCCAGACCAGAGCCCTGAGTGCTACATCCAGCAGTTCCTTGGACACCTCCAGAAGTGGTGACTCCAGCAGCTCCCTGGGCAGCCCCTTCCAAGGCCTGGCAACCTCTTCCTTTAAGAAATTCCTCCTTATGTCAAATTTAAACCTCCTCTGGTGCAGCTCGAGGCCACTTCCTTTTCTCTTGTCCCTTGTTACCAGGGAGTAAAGTCTGGCCCCACATGGTGGGCTCCTGTCAGGTTGTTGTAGGGAAAGAGAAGGTTCTCTCTGAGCCTCCTTTTCTCCAGGCTGAACCCCCCAGCTGCTTCTCATCCAACTTGTGCTCCAGAGCCCGCCCCTGCTCAATTCCCTTCTCTGGACACACTCCAGCACCTCAAAGTCATTCTTTGGTGTGGGACGCACAGCTGGCCCCAGGATTCAAGGTGGGGGACGGTCACTGCGCTGCTCCTGCTGGCCACACTGCTGCTGACACACGCCAGGATGCCACTGTCCTCCTTGGCCACCTGGGCACACCCGGGCTCGTGTTCAGCAGCTCTGGGCCAGCACCCCAGGCCCTTTCCCTTCTCCGGGAACTCTCCCGCTGTCCTGGAGCGCTGCAGAGGCGACCCAAGGGCAGGACCGGCCCTTGGCCTTGCTGACCCTCACCCGCCGGTTCAGCCCAGCGACCCCCGTGCCCCTCTGTGCCGAGGTCGATTCCCCCGGCAGCCTGTCCCAGCGCCCGGCCATGCTCTGCCTCAAGAGCCGCTCCCTCACGTCCGGCCCAAACCTCCCCCGGCCCGGCCCGGCCTCAGCCCGCTCCGCGCCGCTCGGTCTCTTCTCCCCGCCCTCCCTCCCTCCCTCCCTGCCCTGGCAGCTCCCGGAGGGAAGCAGAGGCTGCCGAGAAGCCGCCGCGGTGCCGCTGTGCCCTCACCGCTGCTCGGCCATCACGATCCCATCGAACAGCTCCGCCATGGCGGCGCGCGGCACGCCGGGAGCGGACGGCGCGCGGGAGGGGGCGTGGTCCGCACGCACAGGCCACGCCCCCTCGCGGTGAGCCACGCCCACGCGCGGCGATGGCGAGCGGCCACCAGGGGGCGCCCGAGCGCCGCCGCAGATCCCGGCCGGCCTCGGCCGTCCGCGGGGAAACCTCGGTGTCCCAAAAATCCCGCCCCGTGTCCCAAAAAATCCCGCCCCGTGTTCCAAAAATCCCACCCAGTGTTCCAAAAATCCCACCCCCGCGTCCCAGAAATCCCACCCTGTCGCTCAAAGCGTTGTTCCGCCAGCCTTGGTGCTGCGAGCCCCCTGAGGGCGAGGAGCCTTCGCCCGCTGTCCAACCTGACACAGCCTCAGGCCGTTCTCTCGGCTGCTGTCTCTGGTCGTGGAATGATAGGGTTTGCACATCTCTCTCACATAATATTGGTATCTGTGGCTATCAAAAGTGTGGTTTTGGTGCATATGCCCACAATTTTTTCCCTGCGAGGGTGGTGCGGCCCTGGCACGGGTTGCCCAGAGAAGCTGTGGATGTGCCATCCCTGGAAAGGGTCCAAGGCCAGGTTGGATGGGGTTCTGAACAATGTGGAAAGGTGTCCCTGCCTTGGAATGAAATTATAATCTTTAAACTCCCTTCCAACCCAAACCAGTCTATGATTCTAAAACATAAATATTTTTGGTGTTAATATCCAACCAAACTGTAGTGTGCTGTTCTAGGCTGCTCTATTAAAATACTTACAAGTTGTTACAGATCAACACTGGTCAAAGGAAATATTTATACTCATTTACAAGCACATGTTTTAAAGTTAGCATATACTATTATTTTCCAGATACTTAATGAAAATGTGGCTCTGGGTCACAGAATCACAGAAAAATGAGGTTGGAAGAGACCTCTTAAAGATCGAGTCCAACCTATTCAGCTTAGTGTCGTCTGCAAATTTACTAATGAAGGACTCAATGCCTTCATCCATGTCATCTATAAAAACATTAAACAGAACTGGTCCCAGCACAGAGCCCTGAGGGACGGCACTGGTGACTGGCCGCCAGCTGGATGCAGCACCACTCACCATCACCCTCTGGGCCACCACTCTGCCACCCTGGTGTTGGAATATGTATATTTTTGATGGAAGAAAGGGAAATTTTATTTAATTTATCAAGTTGTTCCCCATTTATATGAAAAGTACGCTGGCAGAGTAGAAAGAGTGGGCCCCAAATTTTCTACCAATAGGATTTCAGTGATTTGAGCAGAGGTAAAGTGGACACTATGACTTTGAATTGATTTATAGGTTTTTACACTTCCTCCAAGTGGAAATGAAGACGCTCAGTATCTCCTTTGCTGCAGCCTCCCCGCTCCTCTAGCAACTCGTATTTGCACATCACAGCTTCCAGCTGAGACTTCCCAAGGAGACATTTGACACCTGAGCTATAAAAACGTTTTAGGGCTGTAAAATGTGCTCTTGCAAATGAAAGCGCCGCCATTGTCCTCCTGCCTTTGAGGAGCTCTGATGGGCAGGGGACAGGGGTGTGCTGACGGGTGGCGGTGGTGTTTACATTCCCACAGAACCAAAGGTCCTTTCTGGAGGTTTTGCACACCCGGTTCCTGACCGAGTCAGGTGGCGGAGGGCAGGGGAAGCACTTCCCAGCAATCCTCCCACCTCAAGCCAAGGTCTTGTCAGATTTTATAAGCAAAACAGCCGGGTTTGGTCAGAGCTGGGATGGGAAAACTCCAACAAAAACTGAAGTGCCCCAGGAAGTGGTGTGGGTTAATTTAGCTCCTGGCATTCTTCCCTCTGTCTGAATAAATATTGAACCAACCTCTAATCATGCTGTTGCAGGAAAAATCATAGTGCTGCTGGTGGAAGAATGTAAGCCAAAGGTGTCAGCAAATAGGGTCATAAGAGAGCTCAATATGATGTTGCCAAAATGTAAGGTTGCCTGTCTTTGCACTCTTGAGAAATATTCACAATGTTACACCCACTTAAAAAATCCCTCACTGGGTCAGTTAAATCGTGTACCCTCCAAACTCCATTATTTGCCATGTTTCCTGTCAAATCTGTGCAATTTTTTAGCAGAAGAGTAAAAGTGACTTTTCTTTTCTTGTCTAAACTTTAAAAGTCCATTGTTATTTTGTTTTGGTTTTGTTTTCTGTTTTTTTTCCTGTTTTTGTTTGTTTGTTTGTTTGTTTGTTTTTTAAAGAAAGGCTTTAAAAGGTGTTCAAAGAAAATATAGTGACTGATCAAAACTCAGAATGAAACCCCCTGAAATCTGAAAAGTTTTGGAACAAAACAACCTGAAAATCAGAACTACCTCTTCCAGCACATGAGGAGTGGGAACCCTCTGGATATGTGGCAGTAGCTCAGCACAAAAGAGAATGGGAAAACACCATGGGAGGTGTTTGCCAGCCAAGAAATCTGCTGTTCCTGTGTCTCACTGCATTTCCAAATGGACACATTCGGGCTCTTTTCCTGCCAGAAACTGACATATTTTTCAGGCAAAACCCACCACTTTTCTCCCTTGCAGTGCTGGTTAGAATGGTTCCCATGTTTAAATGGGAGCAGCCTTCTACCCACAGGATTTTTTTGTCAAGAGAAGTGGTTGAGTCACTATGTCTGGAGGTATTTAAAAGATGTGTGGATATGGCATTTAGGGAGAGACAGAAAATTCAAGCAGATTTCAGTGTTGAAGATGATCTTCTCTTTTATTGCAAATGTACACATTACACTAATGATAATGCACAGAGATTTAAAAATTAGCTAAAATTATGGCTATTTAAAAATTGGCTAAAAATTGGCTATTGTTGGCTAAAATTCTGTTGATTACAAAACTTCACAAGATTTGTTACAACTAAAAAACCCACCTTCAGAAGTATATAAATAGAATTTTGAGCATAAATAACAGTAACAAAATAAACAGATGTACGTATTCAATAAATTAATTATAAATATTGCATTGGCAATGAAGTGCTAGGTCAGAAGAACACCAGTATTTTGTGTAGAGCTTTTTTTCTTTTTTTTTTTCCTTTTTTTCTTTCTTTTTTTTTTCCTTTGCTTTCACCTTGGTTATCCCTTCATTGACTCTTTTCAGAGGGACAACAGAACTTGAAGACATCAGGTGCCTTGGCCAGAGATACTCACAATCCTTTCTTTCAAGAGGAATCCTGACCCAGTTCTGCAGCTTTTAACTCACTAAACCATCTCACCACTGATTCCCATGGATGCTGAATCAAGCCTGGAAGTAACTTGAAAAAATTCCTGGTGGTTAAAGGTTAAACACAAAAACCTATTTTACAACTGATTTGACCTATACATCCGTTCTCAGTGTTTTTCTGTTTGCTAATGACATATACATGCTTATATACAACAGAATCTTCATTTAAACATTCATTTGAGCTGCTCATTCCCTACCTGATGAACATCAATTCTATCCCTGGGCACCTTTCCAACCACAAACTGAATCCTCACTGATTTTGACGAGAACTCTCTGCTGGATGATTCTGATGCCTCAGAGAACATAATTTAGCCTACAAAAGAAACCAACAATCAAGTTTCCCAAAGTATTTCTTAGCAGTAAGGGGAGAAATTTTTCCCTTTCTTCTCCTACTTTCAAAGGGAAGAAAAAGCACAATATACAAGCAGATTTGTTTTTTCAGTAGTATGCTTTCCATAGAAAGTTTTCCCCAGAATGTTGTTAGCAGCCTTTTAAGAAGCAGCATCAGCTCAAGTCACATCTGGCTGGATGTTTTCCTTCATCTAGTTTTGGTCCACGTGTTTGAGTTTGAGGTCTCTGAAGCGGAAAAGGTTTTCTGCATTTGCTCGTACAAGCAGCTATAACAGGTTAATATATATGGAAGTGAAGCTGGTGGAGAAAAATTAGTTATTTTATCACCACTTATGGAGGAATCCTGATAAGGCTGCTAAACTTTTCGTATTTAATCCTCCTTTTCCAAACAAAACTATGGATAGGAAATTCTTTAGACTACAGAACAGCCTACTGGCACTCATCTCTTACAGCTACAACAAGGATGAGGCTGGCTCCATACTCAAACACACAAAAAAGTTCTCAAATATCACTACACAGAAAGCTACAAACCCGGCAGTACTCTTCAATATTTCTGTGAAAATGTGTGGGAGCACAGTCAGTTCTGGAAGCTGGGGCTCTTCACTGGGGACAGTTTGGAGGCGATGCCAAAGGGGTCCATGCTGTCCGTCTCCAGGGGCGAGGAGAACGCCTCTGGCTCAAAGGCCTGGCTGTAATCACCATATTCACCAAAGTCTGCTGACTCCATGGGCACAGTGTTGATCATGGGCAAGAAGTGAGACAGGGGAAGGAAATCCTTTCCCTTGAACTGCTGTCTTTGTTTGGCATTGCTCAAAGACACTGATATTCCGTGTTTTTTGGATCTATACACGTTGTAGCCGTCTGGGCGAATCTCCTCCTCAAAGGAACAGTCTTCAGTGGAATACCTGAGCTGAAAAGCAAGGAATAGTGAGAATTACAAATATGCCCACCAGGCTGGTTGTATTCAACCACAAAACAAACCTTGGATGGGAGAAATCCTAGTCCCTCAGTGGGGGTATCCTGGCTTTCCCAATCCCTATTCTATTCTATTCTATTCTATTCTATTCTATTCTATTTCTATTCCATTCCATTCTCATTCCATTCCAGAGCCCCTGAAGTTCTTTCCATGTCCATCCCATTAAATAAGGGATGAATCCTGGGATGTTCTTCTCCACAGCCACCACATTTATCCTGTCTGAGCAGTGGGAAAAAGTCTCAGATGCCAGAGCTGATTTAGATGAATTGTCCTTAATTGCAGTAGTAAATCCTAATCCAAGTATATGACTCCTGCTCTGTTAGGGATTTGCTTGTGCAAGGGCTTCAGGATCAGGTCTGTAGAAAGGCAGCATGGCCAATCAGTAAAACAATGTTAAAAGGTAATTTCCACCTTTTTCCACTCAGAATTTACTGAAATTGCCAAAGACCTTTTGACAAAGTGTCATTTTGATGTTAACAAGAGAACTGTTGAATTAACACCAGCACAAGTTAGGACTTTGTACAAAAGAAGGTATTTTCTTAGGTATGAATTTGTAGTATTACATTTGCAATGGCCTGTACAGATATTATATACTTGTAACATCTTAAGTTATAAATATATAGAAATAAATATAAATAGAAATAAATATAAATAGAAATATACATAATATTTGTATATTAAACCCATATCAGCAGGTCAGACCTCTCTAGATCTTTACACCAGCTCTGTGTTTCTTACAACTTTGTTGCTATTTCCGTCTCAGCTACTGCAGGTGATTGAACCTTGGTCAATAAAAAAGAACTGCTGATTATGTCTCAGTCTGCAGAGACAGAAATGTCCTTACATGAATGTTCTGCCTGTCTGAACAGAGAGCATATTTAATACTTTTCAGCCTTTCTCAGACACCCTCAGTAACACGGAGTAAAATTAAGGGTGTGCATTTGGTTATCTTTCAAAAGCATGTTTCAAATTAATAAAGTAATTTAAAAAATGTTTTATTCAAATAAAATGCTGCAATATTTATCCTTACACACACACATTATATCTCAGAAAAATATGTGTATATGACCAAACATTGGGGCTGGATTGTTGGCTGTCTTCATGAGTGCTCAGCCTCACAAAAAAGGATGATGAAATAAAGAAGATTCTTGCTCAAGAAGTGCAGACTACAAACAACAGATACTGATTGAGTCCCTGTGTCTCAGCTACACCTTTCCCTCTTCACGATACTGGGATGGTCTCTAGTCTGTTTTCTTCAACAAGTACCAAACAGACTTTTTAAGTATTTCCAGATTTTTTTTTCCCACAGGAGGGATTTTTTTTCACAGGAGGAATCACGGTATGTCAGTAGATTCAGCATTTCCCCATAACTACTGACTACAGCACACAGCACATTCAAAAACCAACCCCAGTCACCAGTTTTCCAGTGTTAAAACAGGCCAAGTTGCAGGAGCACAGGTTCAGCCCTCAGACACCGTGTCTGCCCTTTTGTTCTCCCAGTCCTGAGCATGGTGCTGATAAGGTAAAGATTTACCTGCAGAGCTGCCTGGCTGGGCTGTGACACAGAGGTGACAGCAGGTGTCCCCAGCACGGAGATGGGACAGCACAGTTACGTGCTGTTGTGTTTTCAGAATAAAACTCCAGCCTGCATCTAATACGCTACACCAACAAATGCAGTTCCAGTGTATGCCTTCCAAATTATGCCATAGGAAAGCCATTTTAAAATTCTGTCATTGCTCAAGTTCAGCTGGTAGCTCCAATGGGAGCAGAATCCAGGCTCCGATTTGTTTTGGATATACATTAAAGAATTAAGCTAATAATTGACCTACCATATAATCTGAACCTGTGCACCTCATCTCAGCCTCGACTGATTTGAGCCCAAAACAGCGACGAAATTCAGAAAGAAAAGCTTAATTCTGTGTTCCACATTCTTAATTTTATCCACATTCAGAAACATCAGTGTCACTGCTATTAAAGATACTGAGAGTTTTGAGTATGGGCCAAGTCCTTTCCTGATTAAAATCAGCAGAAATTTTGCTGGAGTAACCAAAAAAGAATCAGGCTGTATCTTTACTGTGGCATCATGAAAAGTTCTGTGAAACTCAGGCTTCTGTACAGACTAAATCTGAACTGCACCTGTCAAATTCTAGAGTCAAGAATGTACTCACATGCCTTAAAAATCAGTTTATGTCATGACTATTGCTAAACCCAGTGAAAAAGCTGATCTAGTGGCATCAGAGGGGCACGTAACTCCCCAACCCCTCAGAGTGCTGCAGCTGTGCTGTTACAGCAGGGCAAAAGTGAGGCGGTGGAGAACCATCCTTTCTCCCTCAAAATCCTTTTCCTGTCTGCGGCTTCCTAAGAGATGGAAACCCATGTTCCTGGGAGTTGTATGCCTGGCAACTAGCTGGCTGCAACTCTTCTCCAAAGGAGCAGTCTCTTTTAATTTTTTTTTCCAGAATACCTGACCTGAACAGTGAGAAAATACTCATATTCTATGGCAGAGCTAAATCTATTCCTGCAGCAGAATCACAGTCTCCCACCGATGAGAATTTTAAACCTAAATGCGATTTTGCCCTGAGCTAAACTTTCGGTATATTTTGGCGGGGGACACGCAAAACATCATTTACTCTCTAAACGACGTTTCCTTTCTGCCTTCTATCAATCCCCACAGCCTTTCGGGCAGTGACAGTGACAAGAACCGTAGGTCCTAGGGAGAACAGGCAGGGGAGGTGGGGGAGGGACAGTGGCCAACACCTGGGAGCTTTGTTACCCCATTATTAGAACACGACGCCGTTCCAGAGCGGAAAATCCCCGCGGGGACAGCGGAGCGGATGCTCACCTGCCCGTGCAGCCGCCCCGCCTCGTCCATGCACAGGTACCGGGAGCTCTGCACGCCCTTGATGGCCACGGTGCGCACGGCCACGGCCCGGATCTCCAGCAGACCTGCGGGCAGACAGAGACAGGGGACAGCAGCGTCACCCCCGCGGCCCCGGCCCTGCCCCGTCTCCATCCCCATCCCCATCCCCGCCGCCACTCACTCTGCGGGCTCTGGCTGCCGGCCGCGTCCACCCGGCCGTCGGCTCCGATCCGCAGGAAGCAGCTGAAGAGCCCGTGCTTGCTGGCGGTGTAGAGGTGCCGCAGCCGGATGGGCTCTCCCCAGCCGTAGTTGAGGTGCGGGCCGGCGTCGGGCAGCGGCAGCGGCAGCGCGGAGGCGGCGGCGGCCGCCAGGGCGAGCAGCGCCAGCGCGGCGGGGCGCAGCCCCATCCCGGCGCGGCGCCTCGGGGCTGTAGCGCGGCCGCAGCCGCCCCCCGGCCTTTTATAGCTCGCCCTTATCAGCTCCATCGATCCGGCCGCATCCGATACGGAGCCCATTTCATAGCCGGATCGGTCACTCCCCCCGAAAATATTAAGCGGGTGACACCCTAAGGGCGCTTCCTCCGCATCTGCATCTCCGCGCTCTCTGCTCCTGCGAGGCTGCGGCCGCGCTCCCGGGGCACTGCGCGTCCCGCAGCCCCGATGTGCTGCCGGGACGGGGACCGGGGTGGGCGGGTGTGTACCCAGCCCACCCAGTGGCAGGAGGCTGCCCCGCTCCCCGCCGCGGCTCAGCCCCTGCCTCCGGCCTTGCCCGTCCTGTATTTCCTTTCCTTTTTCAGAAATCAAAAGAGTTGCTGCCTGCACCTGGGCTCGCCTCTTCGACACGGTCGAAGGCCGCTGCCGGTTCCAGGAGGCACACGGCGCTGGTACAGCGCGGCCCGGCTCTGCAGAGCCCGGTCCGGCCAGGTGCCGGCGGCTGCGGGTGTCCCGGCGCGGCTCCCGGCGGGATCCCCGCCCGGCCATGCCCGGCCGTGTCACTAGATGGAGCCTGGCCCCTGGGACACCGCGGCGGGGAGCAGCGCCAGCGCGGCGGGGCGCAGCCCCATCCCGGCGCGGCGCCTCGGGGCTGTAGCGCGGCCGCAGCCGCCCCCCGGCCTTTTATAGCTCGCCCTTATCAGCTCCATCGATCCGGCCGCATCCGATACGGAGCCCATTTCATAGCCGGATCGGTCACTCCCCCCGAAAATATCAAGCGGGTGACACCCTAAGGGCGCTTCCTCCGCATCTGCATCTCCGCGCTCTCTGCTCCTGCGAGGCTGCGGCCGCGCTCCCGGGGCACTGCGCGTCCCGCAGCCCCGATGTGCTGCCGGGACGGGGACCGGGGTGGGCGGGTGTGTACCCAGCCCACCCAGTGGCAGGAGGCTGCCCCGCTCCCCGCCGCGGCTCAGCCCCTGCCTCCGGCCTTGCCCGTCCTGTATTTCCTTTCCTTTTTCAGAAATCAAAAGAGTTGCTGCCTACCCCTGGGCTCGCCTCTTCGACACGGTGGAACGCCGCTGCCGGTTCCAGGAGGCACACGGCGCTGGTACAGCGCGGCCCGGCTCTGCAGAGCCCGGTCCGGCCAGGTGCCGGCGGCTGCGGGTGTCCCGGCGCGGCTCCCGGCGGGATCCCCGCCCGGCCATGCCCGGCCGTGTCACTAGATGGAGCCTGGCCCCTGGGATGCGGCTGCCTCGCCTCGGGGGAGCCGCTCTGGGGGCGCTCTCCAGCTCCTGTTTGTCCCCACTTCTTACAAAGAGACTTGGTGGGGGGAAATCCTGGGTGAAGTAAAACTGCATCGCCCGATTTAAGCTTCAAACGGAAATTTTCTTCTGCTCTGCGCATGGATTTTTTTTCCACGTGGGCTCCTGCCAGGGAGCGAGTGCCCCTGGAAAAGAAGAAGACTCACAAATTTGGGGATTTTCCAGCGTATTTGTATCTCAGACATATTTAAACGGATTGCTGCCGACTCTTCTGTTGTACATCCAAAGTGATCATTGAAGGAATTTTCTCAGATTCCCAAAAAGGAAACTGGTCATTTCATAAAAAAATTTCACTCCCCTCCCCCCCACAATTGACAATTAAATGACAATTTAACAAGACATAACCCCACCTCCCGACCATTTTCTCTGAAGCACCAAGCTTCGGTCACCTTCCACATACTGTTTTTATATTTTGCTTGTTCGCTTCCACCCTTTTGTCCCTGCACTTGCATCTCCCTCCTGCAAACATTCCCACAACAAGCTTTCCTTAGCTCAGTGAGGATGAGCACGTAGACAAACCACACAAAAACACAGAGGCTTGTGGGATGATCTCTTACACTTATTTTCATGTGCAACTTCAGGTGTATTTAACTGGAGTTAACGACATCGATCAGTCCGCGTTCGGATGATCAGGGTCTCACATAACAAACTCACTGGGAGCGAGGGATTGAATCTCATCAATCACTTCAAAAGCAGCTACTGCTTTTGATTAGCTCTGGGCATTTTTTGGTGATCAGCTTAAAACACCCAGAAAAGACCCTAGTTTTTCCCTGCATGATTGCTGAATAATTAATAAGGATTAAGCCCACTTTTCATTCAGGTGTCTCCTGCTGCATCCTCCAAATCATGCGTGGGCTTTCCTACCAATTCTGGTCTTCCTTACATCACGGAAGTTCACAGTATTATAAGCCCAGTAAATAATACTAAGGCATGCAAGTCCCTAATTCTTTTTTTCCTCTGCAATGTTATTACATGGCTGCTACAAAGGCAGTTCCTGCCCTGCAACCCTGGGCCCCACAGCAGTTGTGCATGTAACTCATCCTGGCATTCTTCAAGGTACTGAGCACCCACCACACACGCAGAGGTTATAGTCTGAAATTAATCTGAAGGGCTTCTTTAGCTCAATTTTTCTGTACATCTCAGTGAATTGAAGCTGTTTTATGACCACTGCTTCTGCTTTACTCTAGTGGAACAATAATCATAATTGCGAGTATTTTCTTCATCAGGAACTTCAGGCTTCTTTCAAGCAGTAAGGAATTGATGCTTGGAGCTTATTCATTCATCTCTGTGAGGATCAAAAATTGAGGCAGAAAGGACAAATCACTTGCACTAAATGATATTTCAAATCAGTGAAAAAGCTGACTGTAAAGGAGAATTTCCCAACAATTGATGGAGAACCTTTAAAAATTATTTTCGTTGTTGCTGTTGCTGATGTTGCATCAGCTGATGTTAAAGGGTTTGTGTCTAATCAAATTAAAACAAAAATGTACTTAACCGTTAAGCACTTAACTAATTTTTTGGAATGGCCTCTCTTGTTAGGGGAAGGTTCCAACCTAAATGATTTGTGCAAGTTCCCCAGTAGTCCCTGACAGAGGTAAGTGTCTGCAAACACTTAACTAGACGGAATGGTGCCAATCCTATCACAGCTGCTGAAGAGATATGGGTTGAATATACCCTGGAAGTGCTCATTTCTTCTTGCCTCCGTAAAGAAAAAAATAAAAATAAAGCCTAGATGATTAACTCAGATTCAGGTAACTTATTTTTAGCTAGAAACTAAAGATAACTTATTTTTAGCTAGAGATAAATGAGCTAGTAAATGAGCACTGAATTCAAAATACAAGAGTTGCGACACATTATTTTAATTTCAGTTCCTGTCTGTGTCACTGAACTTTATCATTTATTGGCATGTTTTATCAAAGTTCAATAGAAAGACACATGCCTTTGCATGTTCGTACAAATGCATTTGCAGGAAAAAAAGATATGTTTGCAGAACAAATGTATTGTAGGATAAATCCCACATTCACTTCCAATGCTGGACCTGCTTCCTGCAACAAGGAAATCTGGTAGTGTCAGATTTTCTGCTTTTATGAGGATGGGAAAAACACCCGAAAACCCAGGAGGAAAATCTTATAGAACAAAAATACCTCCTAACTAAACACTACACAATTGCAAAAGCATTTTCACCTGTTGCAATGGATCATTTATTTCCACTGCACTTTTCAATGTCCCAATGCAATTTCTGCAGAACGAGAAGTCCAGATTTCGGCAATAATGAAGCTGAAGTGAATATGTTTTGGAAGAATAAAATTAGCTATAATTAAAAGTCAAACATCCAGAAATCCTGGAACAAACCAAAAAGGTAACAGAGGACTTGTACCGTATTAGATAACGACATCATTGAAACCAACTGAAAAGAAACTAAGGAAGGTGGCCACAAAAAATGGTGAGGAAATAGGGCAAGAAGCCACCCATGAGTCAAAGTTGGTCATAGCAGGCTGCCTTGTGGTGGAAATCAAAGGAAGAATTATACAGGTGAGTCACTCAAAGCTGAGTGAGACTCAAAATGTGATAAACTGGAGGTGTTTAGGATGAAGAGACATTTTCTCAATTATGGAATATCTTTGGAATATCATGGTGAAAGCTTTGGTTTTACGAGTCACTGCAGGAAGAGGGAAATACCACAGAAACACTGAAGACTTTCTGCTTCCTTTGGGCTGTCTTTGGGACCTCCTGCAGATTTTGGAGTTGGGATTACACGAGTGTGATCTAATATTACTTTTGTGAAGAGATCTGTCAGTCTTCCCCCCTTTTCTCTGAAGTCAGAGGTGGGAGAATTACAGAGGCTGCAAATACTCTGAGGGCAGTAAGGTTCCAGGCAGGGCTGGAGATGTCAGTGCTAATGCCGCCGGTTTCTGGTTTCTGCTGTGGTTCCTGCCAGTCATCCCAGAAGTGACAGAGAAAAGAAAATTATTTTACCCGTGGCAGAGAGCCAGCAGAGCAGTCCAGCCTTTTCTTTTACTTCAGGAGAATGAGGGAAGTCAGAAGTGAAGACATAGGACACTGCGATACGCAGTTACTCGAGCACGAGCTTGTTCTATAAAGAGCCTTATCAGCACAGCACAAGTTAAAAAACCTGCCTAAGAAGGAGAGGTTACTCCACCATATGTCAGGGACTGCTCTGCTTTCCAGCTGCTTCTGCAATCCAAGAGGCATGGAGGTGACAATATTTCTCCCCGGGCTGTGAATGAGTGCAGAATTGAGATTCCACAGCTCCCGCTGTGCGCACCCACTGACAGGATGTCATAGGATGGGACGAGCACTCACTGAGTCTCTTCCCTGATACCACAGTCCTCAGTGAATTTGTAGGATTCAAGTGCATCAGAGACTTATAGATTTTCCAAATTATCCACTTCCAGAGGTGTTCTGCTTCTAAAACTGCTCTGCTAAGGAAGGTCAACACACTGGGGAGATTGTTGCTACTGTAATTGGCATGTGTTGTTGCTGGTTCTTTCCAAGGAGCACAGCCAGACAACCAATTTCAAATATCTCTCACCATTCTGTTATCTAATGCTTCCTCAGCTATTGCTATCAGTCAATGCATTCCAGAGAGCAATACTGAGCCTGGAATCAACTTGGAGCTTGCACAGTCAAATGATATCTT